AATGCAAGAGGAATGATGAAGAAGATGATAATGGTGTTGATGAAGAAGAGAGCGAGCTTCCTCTGAAACCAGGGATTTTCTTCTACCCGACAACCCCAACTTCATTTGTTGTCTCTGATGCTCTTGAACCTGATTTTCCGGTCATATATGTCAACAAGGTCTTTGAAATCTCCACTGGATATCGTGCCGACGAGGCCCTTGGTCGCAACTGGTTAGAACTTTCTTCCATTTCTCCCTCTTTTTTGTGCAAATTCCGACCTCTTAATATCTGGGGTTTTTCTGTTTGTGCATTTGACTCTGAAATTTACCTGGTTGGGTTGAATTAAACTTCCTCAAACTAGAACCCCTTTCTGTGCCTGTCAGATTGTTCTGTTTATTCAGATCTATGTTTAAGCTCAGATTTTTTTTGTGTGTTCCATTTTGTCATCTAGTTAAGAGATGAGATTCTACTGTGTCAAAATTCATAATTCAGAAACATCTTATGGCTATTGCGAACTACATTTCACTGAACTGTGAATTCTGATTGGTAGTGTTTTATCCTCTGTTGTCCATTTTTCGGCAATTTTTTATCTGCTATGGTTAGCTCTTCTATTGAACTTCTTGTTTCTCCTTTTTTTATATCATCTCTCAAGCTGGAGTATTTTTTTTTTTTTCGTCCTTCCTTTTGGAACCCTTGTTTTTTACCTTGTTACAATATGATTTGTGAAAGTTGCGAATGGCCGATACTTCTATCTTCCTTGTTAGTGTCATAATATTATTGCTGGTGTGAATTTTCAGCTAAATTTATTAAGTATCCACAATTTGTATTAATGTTCAAATGTAGCAAAGATACATGTGTGGTTAAAATAATTTAAAAATGTCATGTTTTGTCCATTGAAGATAGCAATATTCTACCAAATTTGGTGGAATGTTTGGTTTTAAGAGTTTTTGGTATCTATGGTTTGAGTTTGGTTTAGTTTTGGTTCCCAGATTAAAAGTGATTATTATTTCAGGGTCCCTAATTTGAAGAAAGTCCACATTTAGTCCTTAAGATTTATCTTCTGTGATCATCTAAGACCCCTGGTAAGAACTAAAACAGGGTTGTGAAACTAAAGAAATAACTTTTTAATTTAGATGACCAAAAACAAACTTGAATAAAATTTAGGGACCTGAAAATATTTAAGTCTTAAGAAAATGGATACTTAGGATATTATGATATAAGGTTTGCCAACTGTTTGAGCCTTTCTTCAACTAACTCCTGAGAAAATTTTTGATAGAGGATATTGATTAAAAATGTGACATTCTTGTTTTCAACAGTAGGGAAGGTAGCCGGTTAAGCTTAAGAGTTTGCTTTCCTGTAAATCCTTCTTGCAGTGCCTTACTCAATCACCAAATTAGAAACAATTTGTTTTGAAACTTTAGTTTTAAGTGTATCAAATGGCATCCTGTGATCCATAATGGGATAAGACTTTGTTATATACTGATCAGTCAGGGTTATTTTAGAAGAATGGCCAATAATTGTTTTAAAATTTCTTTTGTTTCAGTCGGTTCTTACAGTATAGAGATCCTCGAGCTCAGAGGCGACACCCTTTGGTGGACCCTGTTGTTGTGTCTGAGATCAGAAGATGTCTTGAGGAAGGTGTTGAGTTCCAAGGTGAACTTTTGAATTTCAGAAAGGACGGCACGCCATTGGTGAACAGACTAAGACTTGCACCAATTCATGACGATGATGGGACTGTGACACACGTAATAGGTATCCAACTCTTTTCTGAGGCAAATATAGATCTGAACCGACTCTCATATCCAGTATTCAAAGAGACTTGCAATCAGGATTTTTCCAAGAATGGTAAATATTCTCCAAAGGGTGGACAATGTTTGTACAGTCAGCAGCAAGAGATGTGCGGCATTCTTCAGCTTTCTGATGAAGTCCTGGCTCACAACATTTTGTCGCGCTTGACACCAAGGGATGTTGCATCCATTGGGTCTGTATGTAGAAGAATACGTCAGTTAACAAAGAATGAGCATGTCAGGAAGATGGTATGTCAGAATGCTTGGGGCAAAGAAGTGACAGGAACATTGGAACTGATGACCAAGAAGTTAGGATGGGGTCGTCTGACTCGGGAACTCACCACCCTTGAGGCTGTTTGTTGGAGAAAACTGACAGTTGGAGGAGCAGTGGAGCCTTCACGCTGCAATTTCAGTGCTTGTGCTGCAGGAAACCGACTAGTATTGTTTGGAGGTGAAGGAGTGGACATGCAGCCTATGGATGACACTTTTGTTCTAAATCTTGACGCTAAAAATCCAGAATGGCGCAGGGTTAGTGTGAAATCATCCCCACCTGGAAGATGGGGCCACACACTCTCATGTTTAAATGGTTCTTGGTTGGTGGTTTTTGGAGGCTGTGGTAGGCAAGGACTGCTCAATGATGTGTTTGTGCTTGATTTGGATGCTCAACAGCCAACATGGAGGGAAGTCTGTGGTGGAACCCCACCTCTTCCCAGATCATGGCATAGTTCTTGCACAATTGAAGGGTCGAAATTGGTGGTCTCCGGCGGGTGCACGGATGCAGGTGTACTTCTCAGTGACACGTATTTACTGGATCTCACAACGGAGAATCCAACATGGAGAGAAATTCCAACATCATGGGCTCCTCCATCTCGGTTGGGGCACTCACTCTCGGTGTATGGGAGGACAAAACTTCTGATGTTTGGTGGACTTGCCAAGAGTGGACACTTGCGGCTACGATCAGGTGAGGCTTATACAATTGACTTGGAAGATGAACAACCACAGTGGAGGCAGCTAGACTGTAGTGCATTCACGGGATTAGCAAGTCAAAATGCTGTTGTTCCTCCTCCCAGACTGGATCATGTTGCTGTGAGCATGCCTTGTGGGAGGATCATTATATTTGGAGGTTCCATTGCGGGTCTTCACTCACCATCTCAGCTCTTTCTCTTGGACCCTTCTGAAGAGAAACCATCTTGGAGGATCCTCAATGTTCCAGGGCAACCACCTAAGTTTGCTTGGGGTCATAGCACTTGTGTGGTTGGAGGGACTAGGGTACTGGTGTTGGGGGGACACACTGGGGAGGAGTGGATACTCAATGAGTTGCACGAGTTATGCCTGGCAAGTCGTCAGGATTCTGACCTGTAAAGGGCATAAAACCAGACCCTCTTCTCTCAGAACAAGATTTTTGTTGCAAAATAGGTTTTGGGTGGGTTTTGTTTAGCAGTTTGGTTTTGTATATGAACTATATCATATGATTGTTGTATGACATGACGTGTGTATTACCACTGTTTTTTGAATGATGTATGATGCCATCTGGCTCCTCTACCCTCTATGACTATGACACTAGGAAACAAACTTCTGTACATCATAGAGTTCTTGCCTCTTGTATCATCCCTCCTTTTTCTTTTACAATTAGTTTTGTTAATAATTAATTCTTTTATTATTGTTTCTTATCATCAACTCTGATATAACTAATATATAACATAGGAAGGAGAAGAAAAAGGGTGGGTAGATTTCAAAAGAAATTCAAGGAAATATAAGTATGAGGATTGAACGTTAATAAATCTTTAATTAAAGAAGGTTTACCTGGGTTGTAACTAGTTATTATTAGCCTTTACAAATAGAAAAGATAAAAAAATGCTTAAAATTCATGCAGTAAAAAGTTGTATAGGCTTGAAATTTAACCATTTTACTAAATTATAACACGTGATTAGGATTACTTGCAGTTTTTTTTTAAAAATAAACTGCAGGGCCAACGTGCTTTTTGAAATACAAGTGTATAAATTTTCGAATTATGATTTTAAAGTTTTTAGTGTAATTTACCTGTGTTTGTTTGTTGAAGAAGTCGGTAAAAGTGAAGAAAGTTGAGAATACAAAATTTAAAACACGGAAAACAATGCAAAACTTTATATCTTACTTTCCCTCCCTAAACATGTGAAGAAGATTACCTTTAATATTATATATATATATATATATATATATATATATATATATATATATATATATATTACTTTATAAAATAATCAATAATATCTTATATTTTTATTATAATATATAATTAAAGTAAAATATAATAATAAATAAAATGATTTAAAAATTATATTTTATAGATTAATTTACTTTAAAATATTATTATTTTAATATATAATTTTTCGATGAAATTTGAAAATATTTTTAATTTAAAAATTGTTTTCATTATAGTTTATAATTTACAATGCATTTTTAAAATAAATTATTTTTTAAATATTACAAAAATTATTTTATTATATAATCATATCTTGTAACAACTTTCTACTCAATTTTCACTTTCTTAGCTTTAATTCAAATAACTTCACTCAAATTAAATAATTTCAATTTTTTCACTCTCTTTTTCATCATTTCCTTCGTTTTTTACTTCGTCAAATCCAGTAATCCAAAGGCATCGCATCCAATTCTTCGCACACACAGATTAGTCAACCCGACCCAAGATGCTAAGGAATGAAATTCAGCGAGTCAGATTTTCAACTTGAGAGAACCTGACTCGTACCAATATCTTTTACAGGTTATTGAAGTTTTTTCAAAAATTTACACAAGTTTTAAAATGTGATTGAACACGAGGTTTATAAAGTCGAGCGGAAATAAATCATTCAACAGCGGCAATGAAAATATGAATGTTACATAGCTATAAATAGAGATTTTATTATAAGTATTTAACCTAAGTTCTCTTTTAATAGCTTTCTCTGACATTTTTTAAAATTTATTCTTTTTTCTACGGGACGAAAACTCATGAACAGATTATTGAAAATATTTATTAGCACAGTTTACATGATCATCATCACTAAGACGAGTGTAATTAAAATTTTTCAATGGCACTACCGATGGTGAATAGAAGAATTTATTAAAAAACAAATTCTCAGATCGAATATTGCCATGCTATGCACATGGTCACCTCGTTTTAGTTGTGATAGTTTACTAATGTTTGACTCGTCTAATTCAAGTAATTATTGGCACATATATAGCAAAGAATGAAGATTAAATGACTAATAAAATGGTGAAGTCCTTCGAAGTTACATAAAATCACAACATAAAACTCGTAAGTTACATAAAATCACAACATAGAACTCGGATCGGATGCTTTTTACACTGTGGTATGTGGGTCAAAAGAATTATACGCAAGTACGATTTTCACTTCTCGTCGTAACCGTGGACTTTTTTTCTGTTCGTGCTTGATTAAAAAATAGTAAAAGCTACAAAATCTATAAGGAATCTCACAACATCTGTTGCAAACTCTGGGATCTCATTATTTCCAAGCCACCGAGTCAATGTCATCCCTAGCTTGCTTGTATAATTCAAGCCTTTTGGCTATTTGATTTCTCCTTTCCATAAGGGCTGGATCTTCATCCAACATGGCACCCAATTTTTCCTTCTGCATAACAGCTCCAGTAATCAGTTATAACGTTGCTTTCGTCATATTGAAATATACATGATGCTTGCATCAAATTGCAATATACATGTTGCAACACACAAAAATAAAAACAAGTCCCTAAGTATTGAGCCTATCTCGCTTAAACAATCCTTTTGACAAATCACAAGGGAAGTAGCCAGCCAGCATTCTATTATCCCTTTTTCCTAAACCTTTGCTAACCTGTTCTATGAGCTAGTATATGCAACAATTGATATCCTCTACAACATACTTGCGTAGCTGTAGTATACATGATTTAATGATAGCCAAATTGCAATTTAAATCATTTTCATTCTTGATCTACTTTGATCCTCCTGTTATTATTTCCATTGTTTTATTCCTTCAATTTTGACTAATTAGAAATTTGCATACCTTTAATGTATTTATGTAAGTTTAGTTGAACTATAAACATAATATTCATTTAACAAACCTTAAGAAATAATTTAATTAATTAAAACATAAAAATAAAATAAAAAATAAACCATACAAAATTGAAGATTGGACCTAAATTTCTGATTTTCTAAACTTTGACGCCAAGAATTTTAGATGATTTTTTTTTAAGAGACCAACATTACAATTTAACCTAATTAAAATACAAAGCCACAGGGAGCCTAACTAACACACTGTCCAATCTTGATCATCCCCAAATTCAAAGCCAATAAGTTCTCGCGTCATACTTTTATAATTTCCAAAAACTTAATCCGACGGTATATTTGGATTCATCATACCCATTTGGTTACATGTACTTCATGATATTGACAAAAAAAAAATCATTTCGTAAGCTCATACTTGGACCAGGTTCATTAAGTTATCAATGGAAAAAACAGCATGGCATTGTAATTATATAAGTAAATTCAAACAAGCCACACGTAATTATAACTTGTGCAGATACCATGAAAATAACATAGTTAAGGAATGAGAGAAAATTGTATCTAAGATGGGAAAAATTTAAACCGAAGATAAAAAATCGTACCTCCTTCCTCCCAACTTGAACGTAAAAGTGGTTCAGCAAAGATCGCTTAGCCTCTCTGACTTGACAATGAACGACAGCCTTGGGTATGGTATTCTTAAGTGTATCGCAAACCATATTGATATAGGAACTTACATTTGTTCCTGTATCAGGCAACAAAATATATAATACTCAGAATAATGACTGTATAACCATTAGATATGTAAAAGCAATCTCGAATCAAAATCCAAATTACGTGTAATCATGCCATTTAAATTTAAACCCTCCTTTCAAATATTTAAGTGAATTTCAAAGCATCTCGCTCTTTATTTTATAGGAACAAAAACTCACAAGATATGAGAGAAAAGGGATTTAGACATCTTCCCCAAAACCTAACTTTCTTGGACACAATTTTGAATATTTTAGAGTGGATAGAGTTTTGAAAAAAAATAATGGTCATTTTAGAGAAAAAAAATGGATTTTTTAATTGAAAACGACATATGCTGACCAAATATCAAAAAGAAGTTCCCACATTGCTTACAAAGATAACTTTTACTTCTGATGAAAGATGAGTCTTACACACTTCAGTAAAAAGACATGGTTTATATAAGCTTATCCATCTAACCAGTACTGTAGTCCTAGAATAATCGTATACTAAGAATTACAATATTATTCTTAAATGTTACTAAAAAGGCTTGAGGAAATTTAGGTTACCAATTTTGCGCAGGTGATTGTCAGTATAACTGTCCATATTTGGGGGACCATTCCGATTTGGATTTGGTGGTCCATTTGGATTCTTTTCTGGTTCAAAATGAATCTTCCTGAAAAACTCCACTGTTAGATAGCTAGACTCCATATCAACCAACCGTGTAACTGTCTTCCTGCTTTCTTCTCGGAATTTTTCCAGAGCTTCATTCGCAGCAGTTGCTATATCATTGGAAAGTGTTGGAAATCTTTTTAGTTCCTACATGTCATAAAAACGCCAACTGTAAAATATAATTTAATTATCTCTTCCCCTGTAATATTTCCCCATCCCAATTCACCCCTTCAGATACCAAAGTTAATAATAGAAAAACTATTCAAGGTCCTGGAACGGCACCTTACATCAGTTTTTAGCAATGACTCATACCCTTCATTATTAGCCTTCAAAGATTCATTAATTCAAGAAGGAATCCTAATAACCAACTCAGACACATGAATTAGGTGTGAGAAGAACAGGCGCATTCAACTTGCATTTCTGTTTATTTTTAAATTTTAAACTTATGACATGTCTGACATCAACTTGTGCACTGCTTTACCTCAGTTTCTGTAATTGATTTCCGTACAAGTTCCTTTAAAACAAAGTGAACCTGTATAATAGAAGAAAGCACGCAGTTCAGAAATGAAAAGAACAACATCACACACAGCAATTTAATATAAAAAAATGTAAATGAGGAAAACAGTTCCTCTTATGGAGTAACTGTTTTTATCTCATTTCAGTGACAAAAGTTAAAGGAAAAACACATGTTAAACAGCCCTCATACAGTATATAACAATAATATAAGAAACACAATTATAAATGTGATTTTTGGTACAAAAAACGTCAGAGTTTCATCATGGGAAATTATTTATTGAGAAAGGGATTCAGAAAGCAAAAACAGAATCAATGGTCATGAAATTTCAGTTTAACAACATTCCAAGTTTGTGTTGATGTGGAAGAATAGAGGACGTTCACAATAGCAGGCTTGTATATATATTCACGTGATATCAGGATTTTCATTTACTTGATTTTGTCTTCTTCACAATTACCTACTGCTGTGATCAACACTGAGATGAATCTCTTCAGAGGTGATTTTGAAAAAGAAAAAAAGACAAAAACGATAGAAAGAAATACAGTAGTTGTGGAGGACACCTCAGGTCTAAACAATGAGGTATTTCATGTTATATCTGGTAGTTTCATTTCATCATACCAAGGAACAGGACGACAGACTAAAACAAAATATAATAAAGTAAACAAAGTTTACAGCATCCACGGAGGCTTCAGCTGGGCCTTTGAAATAGCCTATAGATCCTTCAATGAGTCTTCGGTAACCCTGCTCTGGAGCAATTAGATGGGGCTGATACCCATCAGCTTCAGTGACAACCCTCTGGACATTTTTCAGGGAAAGATGGCGATCAAAAGGAAGCTTTTTTAAAGCAGCTGGTAACTGGTGATCAAAAACTCCGTATATCCGGTCCCCACCAGGACGACTGAAAAAGAAGTTAGTGGGCTAATCAACTAGTTGACAAGGCAAAAAACCAAAGAAAGACTCATACAATTCATTTGTTATAGAAAGAAACAAAAGTAAACAAGGAGCTAATTATGAAGCTGAATAGGAGCAGTTACCCTCCCTCCAGGTGCTCTTTAAATACTTTATCAAATGCACGACACATCTCTAAAATAGTGTAGAGTTGGGCCTACGTAAACAAGTAACACAACTTAAAACACTTAGAAATAAACAATTTTCAAATTAAATTATTCAGCATAGGTCTCAGTTCTGACCCCTGAATCCACAGCAATTGGTCTGCCAATACGGTCCAACTCGGCATTTAGCTCGTCAATAGTTTTATTAATTAAGGCAATGATACTTGGTATTTTCTGTCTGATAACTTGCTCCAAATGCTGCGGTCATAAAAAGCAGTGAAAGAAAAAAATCATTGAAAGAATCAGAAAACAATTGAATAAAAGTACAGTAAATTATAAAAATGTTACTGAAAATGTGTAGAATATAAAACCTGAGATAAAAGCTTAGCAAGATATTCTGATCCCATTTTATGTGCCAAATGTCCATATTCGGGACTTGTCTCAAAATATTCACGCTCCTTCCTACGAGCAGCAATCATGTCAACATTCCGATTAATATCAGCTTGTGAACGGTTCACAATTCCAACCCATGGATGCTGCAGCCTGTATTGCCTTCCCTCGAGTACCTTCACGTTTTAAATTTAAAAACTTCTGTCATTTTGCAACTAACAAGTTAAATCCAAGGAAATCAATTTAAGTTACTGAAGAACAAAACAGAAGATAGTTGCAGTTATTAAGAAATCATACATCAACCGCATTAGTTCCTTTATCCATAAGATCAAGTTTGGTAACAACACCAAACGTTCTTTCACCTGAAAAAGTACAAGGAAGAAAAGTTTGTTTTTTGGTAAATGCATGCTGACCAAGAAAGAATGAAAAACAAAACAAAACTGAATGAATCAAAATCTACCCTTGGAATTGCTTCAATATAAACAGCCATACCTGAAGGGTCAACTTCTCGAGCGATTTTTATGGCATCTGATGTGGCAATATCTTGATTTGCAGGAGAGATAGCTAAGATAATGCAATTTGGCTTCACAATTGAAGAGTTCAGTTATATTGTTAACATGAAACATTGAAGATAATTTATAAGAGCAAGAGTAGATAATAAATTTGACAGCAGTACACCCGAAAGGCAGTTCAATTTCCTTAAAATGGAACATAAATTACAGGATTCAAAATAAACGTAGACTGATTACAGGTGATGCCAATTAAACCAATGAGAAGAATATTCTTGCAGCAAAAAATAAAAGAAATTACTGGAAGGAAAACATTATTGTGAGTGAATCCTACATTAACCAAACCCACAAGATACAAGAAAGTAAAAAACCACAAGTTTCTAGCAAAAGATTACCCAGATAAATTTATTGATTACCAGAATGTAGTGTTATTTGAAGGGGTTCANTGAGAGAACCTGACTCGTACCAATATCTTTTACAGGTTATTGAAGTTTTTTCAAAAATTTACACAAGTTTTAAAATGTGATTGAACACGAGGTTTATAAAGTCGAGCGGAAATAAATCATTCAACAGCGGCAATGAAAATATGAATGTTACATAGCTATAAATAGAGATTTTATTATAAGTATTTAACCTAAGTTCTCTTTTAATAGCTTTCTCTGACATTTTTTAAAATTTATTCTTTTTTCTACGGGACGAAAACTCATGAACAGATTATTGAAAATATTTATTAGCACAGTTTACATGATCATCATCACTAAGACGAGTGTAATTAAAATTTTTCAATGGCACTACCGATGGTGAATAGAAGAATTTATTAAAAAACAAATTCTCAGATCGAATATTGCCATGCTATGCACATGGTCACCTCGTTTTAGTTGTGATAGTTTACTAATGTTTGACTCGTCTAATTCAAGTAATTATTGGCACATATATAGCAAAGAATGAAGATTAAATGACTAATAAAATGGTGAAGTCCTTCGAAGTTACATAAAATCACAACATAAAACTCGTAAGTTACATAAAATCACAACATAGAACTCGGATCGGATGCTTTTTACACTGTGGTATGTGGGTCAAAAGAATTATACGCAAGTACGATTTTCACTTCTCGTCGTAACCGTGGACTTTTTTTCTGTTCGTGCTTGATTAAAAAATAGTAAAAGCTACAAAATCTATAAGGAATCTCACAACATCTGTTGCAAACTCTGGGATCTCATTATTTCCAAGCCACCGAGTCAATGTCATCCCTAGCTTGCTTGTATAATTCAAGCCTTTTGGCTATTTGATTTCTCCTTTCCATAAGGGCTGGATCTTCATCCAACATGGCACCCAATTTTTCCTTCTGCATAACAGCTCCAGTAATCAGTTATAACGTTGCTTTCGTCATATTGAAATATACATGATGCTTGCATCAAATTGCAATATACATGTTGCAACACACAAAAATAAAAACAAGTCCCTAAGTATTGAGCCTATCTCGCTTAAACAATCCTTTTGACAAATCACAAGGGAAGTAGCCAGCCAGCATTCTATTATCCCTTTTTCCTAAACCTTTGCTAACCTGTTCTATGAGCTAGTATATGCAACAATTGATATCCTCTACAACATACTTGCGTAGCTGTAGTATACATGATTTAATGATAGCCAAATTGCAATTTAAATCATTTTCATTCTTGATCTACTTTGATCCTCCTGTTATTATTTCCATTGTTTTATTCCTTCAATTTTGACTAATTAGAAATTTGCATACCTTTAATGTATTTATGTAAGTTTAGTTGAACTATAAACATAATATTCATTTAACAAACCTTAAGAAATAATTTAATTAATTAAAACATAAAAATAAAATAAAAAATAAACCATACAAAATTGAAGATTGGACCTAAATTTCTGATTTTCTAAACTTTGACGCCAAGAATTTTAGATGATTTTTTTTTAAGAGACCAACATTACAATTTAACCTAATTAAAATACAAAGCCACAGGGAGCCTAACTAACACACTGTCCAATCTTGATCATCCCCAAATTCAAAGCCAATAAGTTCTCGCGTCATACTTTTATAATTTCCAAAAACTTAATCCGACGGTATATTTGGATTCATCATACCCATTTGGTTACATGTACTTCATGATATTGACAAAAAAAAAATCATTTCGTAAGCTCATACTTGGACCAGGTTCATTAAGTTATCAATGGAAAAAACAGCATGGCATTGTAATTATATAAGTAAATTCAAACAAGCCACACGTAATTATAACTTGTGCAGATACCATGAAAATAACATAGTTAAGGAATGAGAGAAAATTGTATCTAAGATGGGAAAAATTTAACCCGAAGATAAAAAATCGTACCTCCTTCCTCCCAACTTGAACGTAAAAGTGGTTCAGCAAAGATCGCTTAGCCTCTCTGACTTGACAATGAACGACAGCCTTGGGTATGGTATTCTTAAGTGTATCGCAAACCATATTGATATAGGAACTTACATTTGTTCCTGTATCAGGCAACATAATATATAATACTCAGAATAATGACTGTATAACCATTAGATATGTAAAAGCAATCTCGAATCAAAATCCAAATTACGTGTAATCATGCCATTTAAATTTAAACCCTCCTTTCAAATATTTAAGTGAATTTCAAAGCATCTCGCTCTTTATTTTATAGGAACAAAAACTCACAAGATATGAGAGAAAAGGGATTTAGACATCTTCCCGAAAACCTAACTTTCTTGGACACAATTTTGAATATTTTAGAGTGGATAGAGTTTTGAAAAAAAATGATGGTCATTTTAGAGAAAAAAAATGGATTTTTTAATTGAAAACGACATATGCTGACCAAATATCAAAAAGAAGTTCCCACATTGCTTACAAAGATAACTTTTACTTCTGATGAAAGATGAGTCTTACACACTTCAGTAAAAAGACATGGTTTATATAAGCTTATCCATCTAACCAGTACTGTAGTCCTAGAATAATCATATACTAAGAATTACAATATTATTCTTAAATGTTACTAAAAAGGCTTGAGGAAATTTAGGTTACCAATTTTGCGCAGGTGATTGTCAGTATAACTGTCCATATTTGGGGGACCATTCCGATTTGGATTTGGTGGTCCATTTGGATTCTTTTCTGGTTCAAAATGAATCTTCCTGAAAAACTCCACTGTTAGATAGCTAGACTCCATATCAACCAACCGTGTAACTGTCTTCCTGCTTTCTTCTCGGAATTTTTCCAGAGCTTCATTCGCAGCAGTTGCTATATCATTGGAAAGTGTTGGAAATCTTTTTAGTTCCTACATGTCATAAAAACGCCAACTGTAAAATATAATTTAATTATCTCTTCCCCTGTAATATTTCCCCATCCCAATTCACCCCTTCAGATACCAAAGTTAATAATAGAAAAACTATTCAAGGTCCTGGAACGGCACCTTACATCAGTTTTTAGCAATGACTCATACCCTTCATTATTAGCCTTCAAAGATTCATTAATTCAAGAAGGAATCCTAATAACCAACTCAGACACATGAATTAGGTGTGAGAAGAACAGGCGCATTCAACTTGCATTTCTGTTTATTTTTAAATTTTAAACTTATGACATGTCTGACATCAACTTGTGCACTGCTTTACCTCAGTTTCTGTAATTGATTTCCGTACAAGTTCCTTTAAAACAAAGTGAACCTGTATAATAGAAGAAAGCACGCAGTTCAGAAATGAAAAGAACAACATCACACACAGCAATTTAATATAAAAAAATGTAAATGAGGAAAACAGTTCCTCTTATGGAGTAACTGTTTTTATCTCATTTCAGTGACAAAAGTTAAAGGAAAAACACATGTTAAACAGCCCTCATACAGTATATAACAATAATATAAGAAACACAATTATAAATGTGATTTTTGGTACAAAAAACGTCAGAGTTTCATCATGGGAAATTATTTATTGAGAAAGGGATTCAGAAAGCAAAAACAGAATCAATGGTCATGAAATTTCAGTTTAACAACATTCCAAGTTTGTGTTGATGTGGAAGAATAGAGGACGTTCACAATAGCAGGCTTGTATATATATTCACGTGATATCAGGATTTTCATTTACTTGATTTTGTCTTCTTCACAATTACCTCCTGCTGTGATCAACACTGAGATGAATCTCTTCAGAGGTGATTTTGAAAAAGAAAAAAAGACAAAAACGATAGAAAGAAATACAGTAGTTGTGGAGGACACCTCAGGTCTAAACAATGAGGTATTTCATGTTATATCTGGTAGTTTCATTTCATCATACCAAGGAACAGGACGACAGACTAAAACAAAATATAATAAAGTAAACAAAGTTTACAGCATCCACGGAGGCTTCAGCTGGGCCTTTGAAATAGCCTATAGATCCTTCAATGAGTCTTCGGTAACCCTGCTCTGGAGCAATTAGATGGGGCTGATACCCATCAGCTTCAGTGACAACCCTCTGGACATTTTTCAGGGAAAGATGGCGATCAAAAGGAAGCTTTTTTAAAGCAGCTGGTAACTGGTGATCAAAAACTCCGTATATCCGGTCCCCACCAGGACGACTGAAAAAGAAGTTAGTGGGCTAATCAACTAGTTGACAAGGCAAAAAACCAAAGAAAGACTCATACAATTCATTTGTTATAGAAAGAAACAAAAGTAAACAAGGAGCTAATTATGAAGCTGAATAGGAGCAGTTACCCTCCCTCCAGGTGCTCTTTAAATACTTTATCAAATGCACGACACATCTCTAAAATAGTGTAGAGTTGGGCCTACGTAAACAAGTAACACAACTTAAAACACTTAGAAATAAACCGTTTTCAAATTAAATTATTCGGCATAGGTCTCAGTTCTGACCCCTGAATCCACAGCAATTGGTCTGCCAATACGGTCCAACTCGGCATTTAGCTCGTCAATAGTTTTATTAATTAAGGCAATGATACTTGGTATTTTCTGTCTGATAACTTGCTCCAAATGCTGCGGTCATAAAAAGCAGTGAAAGAAAAAAATCATTGAAAGAATCAGAAAGCAATTGAATAAAAGTACAGTAAATTATAAAAATGTTACTGAAAATGTGTAGAATATAAAACCTGAGATAAAAGCTTAGCAAGATATTCTGATCCCATTT